ATCAGTTCTGAGGAAGGGTCACTGGACCCGAAACATTAACTCTGTTTTTTCCCTTCACAGATGCTGCCAGACCTGCTGAGCTTTTCCGGCAACTTTGTTTTTGTGCAGGCAAAGACTATTTAGACAGTATGTTAGCAATTATTGTTATCTTCCAATATTTCAGCAGAGTGATTGTCTAACTTAGCCCAGTCTCTCCAAAGGAACCTACAGCAGTATTTTGTAGTCTGCACTTGCTTCTTAGGCCAGGGCATTTGACAGGCTGACAGTTTTATTACAAATGTTATGGAATAAAATCTTGCATTCAGAAAATGCTTTCTCACATCCTCAGGAAGTCTCAGTTTATGTCCAGAGATTTTTATTTTTCATGTTGTGTGAGCCAATGACAGCCAATCTGTACACAGCAAGTTACAATGAGTAAGTGTATGCTCCATTAACTTTGGTCAATGAGGAACAGTGTTGATCAGGAGAACTGTCCACTCTGAATGTCGTTGTGGATTCTTTAACAGAATAATGACCAGAGCTTGGATTACATCAAAGGATTGTGTACGGCCTTTCACCACTCAGCTGGTGCTGTTTGTACTGATGTTTCTGGTTGTTCTGAAATAGGTGAAGATCCTTTGGCTGATGATCAGGATAACCATGACATTAACTCAGTCGCAGGGGTTCTGAAGCTCTACTTCAGAGGATTGGAAAACCCACTCTTTCCTAAGGAAAGATTTAACGAGCTCATTCCCTGTGTCCGTAAGTACTTGTTCACTCGTCCCCATTTCTGTCACACACACTGTCTCCCTCCCTTCCCCTCCTACCCTCTATCATTCCCTCTGTACTCTCGCACTGTCTCTCCTTTCTTTCACCCTTCTTCTCCCCCTCCCCTACCCCCACTATCGTCTCTCTCACACTCCAAATCACATGCTCAATCTGTCTTCCTTGTGCATTTGTGCTCTCGTCCTTGACTCCTCAGGCTCTTTCTCTCTCCTCTCTCTCATCTTCTGTCCCTTGCACTTTCTCTCCATCTCTCTCTCTCACACCCTCTGTCACCTCACACACTGTTTTGAGTACCATCTCTCTCGAGAATGCTGTCATTCTCTCACTCTTTTGTATACACTGCGTATCTCTCTCTATCTTGCAGCCGGCTCTCTCATTCGTGCGCATGCAAACTGCAGCTCTCTTTTGTTTGTGTGTGCTACCGTGCCTGTCTTGTGTGTTCCATATCTCTCTCTCTCTCATGTGCACTCTCTCTCTCTCTCTCTCTCTCTCTCTCTCTCTCTCTCTCTCTCTCTCTCTCTCTCTTTCTCCTTCCCAACCTCCCTCCCTCACACTCTCTCTCTGTCCCACTCACTCCCTCTTTTTCTATCTTTCTTGTCTCTCTCTCCATCTCGTCTGTCCTGTTTCAAAGAAACCTGAATTGGTATTGAAATTTTCTTCTTTCAGATTCCACTGGGTTACTTGAGTATTTTGAATTTTGATGTACTTGATGGTTGAAGAATTTATCAGACACTATTTAAGGATGCAGTTTCTTTGACAGAGATGGTGAGGTGGGATGCACAGCCCGCAAAAATCTGCGAGATCTGTTGAGTTCATTTTTTTTAAAAAATGAAAATAAGAAAAACAGCTTGTATTTTATGAAGCTTTACCCATGTCCTCAGTACAGCTCAGAGCAATTTACAGCCACCACATCATTCTAAGTGAGCGATTCCCTGAAATCTAAGTAGAAATGTTAGACAGATTGAAAGGAAACCAATGCAGTTGTTATTGTTTAAGCGTCGTCGCGAGGAGGAAGTAGCTTTGAGATCTTTCTGCACAAGGTTGTTTAGCCAGAGGCAGGATAATCTCGGGTTGTTTTCTTTGGAGCATAGAAGGTTGAGTGGGGAGCCTGATAGAGGTGTATAAAGTTATGAGGGATAGGTGCAGGGTGGATAGAAATCTGCTGTTCCCAGTGGTTGAAAGGTCAAGAACAAAGGGGCATAATTTTAAAATGAAAGAGAGGAGGTTTCGAGGGTATGTGAGGAAAAATCTTTTCACCCAGAGGGTGGTGGGAGTGAAATGCACTGCCTGGGGAGATAATGGAGTAGTGAAACCTCAAAAAGTACTCAGAGGAACATTTGAAGTGTCACAACATTCAATGCTATGGGCTTAGTGTCAGAAAGTGGGACTAGTGGTCACACCGACTCGATGGGCTGAAGGGTCTGTTCTGTATGATTTTATGATTTAATGATTCCATATTACAAAGGCAGCAGAGCAGATTTAGAATCATAGAATCCGCAGAAAGAGGCCATTCGGCCATTCGAGTCTGCACCAACCCTCCTGAAGATCATCCCAGTTACCCCCAGCCGCCCACCGTGTCCCTGTAACAACGCATTTCCCATGGCTGGCCCACCTAGCCTGCAGATCCTTGGGCAACAGAATAATACTAGGGATGAGGGACCTCGGTTATGTGTTGAGGCTGGAAGTGCTGGCTCTGTTGTTGGAGAAGGGTTTTTGATGGAATAAATCAGGGGAAACTGTGTACACCTGGAACTTCAAAGGGCAGTTAACAGCAATAATGCAGGTGTGAGTCTGGAGTCGCATGTAGACCATACAAGGTAAGTTTCGTTCCTGAAGGAATAGTAGTGGACCAATTGGAGCACATACTACAACCCAAGAGTTTCATGCTTTTTATTTCCAGATTGAAAAACACAACCCAGAACTCTCAGAACTCCCATGGCCTGATTTTAAAATTCGATCTTTGGATTTTTAGTGTAAGTTGCTGGATCACGAATTGAGTGATGAAGCTACTGCTTAAGATATCCTACAATAAACTTTAATTTTTTTTTGTGCTATGCATGGAACAGCTCAAACAGTTCCACAAGCATCCACTCCCTCCACCACTGACACTCAATAGCAGCAGTGTGTGCCATCTACAAGATGCATTGCAGAAATTCACTAAAGATCCTTAGACAGCACTTCCAAACCTTCCATCTAGAAGGCCAAAAGCAGCAGATCCATGGGAACACCACTCACCATTCTGACTCGGAAATATATCACAGTTCCTTCACTGTTGCTGGGTCAAAATTCCCTCCCTAAGCGCATTGTGGGTCTACCTACAGCACAAGGACTACAGTGATTCAAGAAAGCAGCCCACCACCACCTTCTCAAGGGCAACCTAGAGGTAGGCAATAAATGCCAGCCTTGCCAGCAAAACTAACATCCCATGAGCAACTACAAAACCCTCACTGGAGACTTGGAGCTCCTGTGTGTGGAAAAGATCCCAGATTTCCTTAGAGATTCCTGGAATGCCAGAGGACTCTCAGTCACAGCTGCACATAACTAAGGGGGTAAAGGTTACACTGACCAACCTCATAAACGAAAGGCCTGCAATCCATCCAGAATGGAGCACTGCCCCAGTTGATGCAAAACACTACAATAAGTAGACCAGTTTCTGGAGAGCTAGGTATTGTGGGTAGTGTAGCCACCATCATTGATCAGTTGTCACAAATATTAATATGTCAAGCAAAGGATGGCTGTAGTGTGGGACTGCTGTTTGGTGTTTTAAGTGATGGTTATTTGAAAGGGAGATGGCAAAAAATGATTTTCCACAATCCAAGAGCAAGGAGCAAAATTTTTAAAATTAAGCCTTATCCGTCTAGGAATGAAATCTTATGAGCATATGTATGGATATATAAAGTGGGAGCAGAAGTAGACCATTTGGCCCTTGAAGGCTGCTATTACATTCAATAAGATCATGAGTGATTTAAATTCCAAATTTCCATCGACCCCCCGCAAGAGTCTTTGATTCCCTTGCCTCAGAAGAATCTATCTATCGCCACCTTAAAAGTATTCATGACCCCACTTCTGCTGCCTTCTCGGGCAGAGAGTATCACAAGTTATCCACCCCTCTGAGAGATATAATTTCTGCTCATCTGCCTTGAAAGGGAAACCCCTAATGTTTAAACAGTTACCCCTGCCAGGTCCAGACTCGCCTGTAAGAGGAAACATAATTTCCATATCCACCTTGTCAAGACCATTCAGGATCTTATACACATCAGTAAAGTCATCCTTGCTCTTCTAAACTCCAGTGGCGGGAAGGCTCAGACACAAATGGTGGTAAAAATTGAGATTCTTAAAAAGCGAAGCCAAATGAAATCTTAAGACTGAAGTTTATTTTCAACAAGAGATTTGAGGAGCATGCAGCAAAGGTGGAAAAATGGAATCAAGAGAGAGATTCCAGAATCTCATTGAATCACAGAACAGGGTTGAAGGGCTGAACGACCTCCTCCTGTTCCTATATTTTTAATTAAGGATTTGCCACTTTGTAATATCTGTGTACCTCATGAAGGAAAACTATCTCTCAGTCAACTGTACAACTGAGCCTTCAGTGAGCAGTAATTAGCCAGATTGTATTCATTATTAAATGGGATCCTTGTGGATTTGTGCACCGTTGAAATTGATAGCATCTGGTCAAAAGGTTTTAACATTAAAAATGCTGCATTCTGCACATTCTCTTGCATGAACCACTTGTGGATTATTCTGTAAATCATCCAGAGAGTGAGAATTGTTGCTTGTTAGAAAAATGTAAAATAGTGCTAATTGACAAGTTTCTCCTCAAAGCTGCTATTCAAAATACAAATGGGAGACACATCTCTCGTCAAAGTATACACATGCTAGATCAGTGTTTCTGTTCAAATTCTTCAAATGAAATTGATGAACAGCAATCAAGCATCTCCTCGCTGCTGGGGCAGCACAGTGGCTCAGCGGTTAGCACTGCTGTGTCAGATCACTAGGAACCTAGGTTCAGTTCACATTCTTGACTGTCTGTGTGGGTTTCCTTTTGGTGCTGTGGTTTTGTCACAAAGATGTGCAGAATAGGTGGATTGACCATGGGGAGTGCAGGGTTAAAGGGATGGAGTAGGGGTAGGTGTAGGGGCAGGGGCTGGGTCTGGGTCTGGGTGGCATGCCCTTCAGATGGCCCGTGCAGATTTGATGGGCTAAATGGCCTGCTTCCACGTTGTAGGGAGCTTATGAATTTGTAAAATTGTAAGACAGAGGTTTACAAGAGCATGTTTAAACACGCTGTCATGCTTAATGGGTCAGACTGGCTTGTAAAATTCTTCCCATCTCATTTTGAACAACTTGATGGCTTTTATTGTTTGTTTAAAATAGAGCAAAACTCTCAGTGCTGGAGATGGGGGGTAAGCATTCACGATGATTAATTCATTCTCTACAAATGTTTTCTCATTAAGTACAGCAAGTTTGAGGCTTCCCAACTAGGACTGTTTACATTTTACAGATTCAACACAGACTGCTGTGCTGGAACAGCATATGACTTTTGGAGTAAAGTATATTTTTTTCCCCATCTTTCAATGACACAGTCGTTTTCTCCCTGCCACTGTTTAGTTTGAGGGACATAAGGCATACATGCACACACACAGGCCTCCCTTCCCACCTTTGCTCAGAGCTTCACGGTGAGGTTATGTCCCTAATCAGTGTTTGCTCAGGCAAACCTCACTGCTGGTTTAGCCAGGTGCCTAAACCTTCCTCGGGAGACAAGGTGAACCTGTAAGAAGAGATCAAGTAGAATTACAAAGGAAAAGTACTGCAGATGCTGGAAATCTGAACCATGAACAAAAAACAAGCTGGAAACTCTCAACAAGTCAGACAGCACAGAGAGAAACCAATGGCTTGAAATATTAACTTGCATCAGAACTCAATTTCTGCTCAAATTTTTCCAACCTTTTCTGTTCTTGTTTGAGTAGAATCGGCCT